ATATATCGTATATTTATTCGTTAGTTAGTATTTTATTATTTAATATATTATTTAAGTATTATTTTAATTAGTAGTTTATTGATAATTAGATTAGATTAGTATATTTAGATTAATATATGGCGTGAGTAGTAGTGATTAGTGAATTATTAAGTATTTTATTAGTACAGGTAATTATCTTTCCTAGTGAGATTAGGATTCTAGGGTTTTATTCTCTTTAAATAGTCGTTTTGTGCTAGGGTTTTATAATGCAGAGAAATAATAAAGAAGAGTTTTCTTACGTTTAGTAAAGAAATCCTATGATACTCAAGAGATCGTATCATATTCTTCCTATAGTGTCTAGTGCTATGTTAGGACGGAAAATCTCACGAGTTTGTTTGTATAAACTTCTACAAAAATTTAACGAACACCGGCAGAAACGCTCGGGTTGTGTAGCTATCCGTTGAATGTTGATTATTGCCATTGTTGTAATAGTATCGGTAATGGAAATGAAGTAGATTACGGGTTTTTCTTTTGGGTAGTGAGAGTGAAACTCTTGGCATTTATTTTTTGGAAGAGATTACCATAATTTCTACTTGAGCGAGATTTGCATATTTATGCAGTTTTAATTGATTTTCATCAATAATACAATGGGGGCAATTTTTGTATTATATAATTTATGGGTTTATAACTAAAATGGGATTAAAATCACTATAGGAAAATTCAATGGTTTTTTCTTATATTTTATTCTAATAAACAGATAGCCCCTATTTGTTTCGTATCCATCATCAATTTTCGTATTAGTTTTCACTTAAAAAAATTTCATAATTTACTCATCATCATTTTATTTATAAATTCTTGTATTAGTTTTCACGTAATAAAGTTCCATTATTTACTCAATTGATGTATTGCGATTAAATTGTTTTTTTCTTTTTTTCTATTTTTTTCAATGTCCGTTTATATAAGCGCTTGCATCTTTTTTAAATTCGGTACGCTGTAGAACCTTTTGTTCATTAGTTTTAGAGAGTGGCTAAAACAAATACCATTTTCTTCTCACTTCAACACCATCAAACAAAAAAAAAATAGATAATAAATAAGTAATGACATTATTATCCTTAATGAAAATCAATATCAGACACAAAATTTGTGTGGTATTTATTTTATTAAGAGATTGATGTCATTACTTATTTTTCATCTATCTTTTTTATGTTGGTGGTATTGAAATAAGAAAAAAAAAAGTATTTGTTTTAACAACCTCCTTAGTTTTATCCGTTTGTTTTTGTAGAGAAATGAGAAAATGAATTAAATATTATTGACATTTACAAGGTAAATGTTATGTTGCACTTGTGCTAATGGGAATATAAGAAATACAAATATGTAAACAAACTAATTTGTTATAATTATCATCCAAATTATGTTAAACATTTTTTTATACAATTAATTATTATTATTGTATTATAATATATTTCTTTTTTTTTCCAAAAAGATTTTATTATTCCATTATGTAGGAGAATAGGGGCTTGTTAAAACATTATGGGCCTACACAAGGAAAAAGAGTACCTCTACAATTGCAATAAAAATCAGTACGAATCCTATTAATTCTATTACACATAAACCCAAAAGGGGCGACATGAAATAATCAAAATTAAATTGCCTAGACTGACTCTATTTGATGAAAATGTGAATCGATCTCCACCAATGCTGAAAGAGTAAATATTGGAAATAATGGCCACTCAGTTCGATCTCCTCTTCAATTGCCTCCTCATTTGCATCTTGATTAACGAAATTTAGGGATGCCAATCCGATCTAAAATTAATAAAGATCTAATAGGTTGAGAACACTCGATTGCATTCGTCGAATGGCTTGGACAACATAAAATGCCTCTCATGCGACAGCGATGTGATTATAAATTATGTCAACGATCAATTTGGAGTCCGACTCAATAATAACTTGTGTAAGACACATCTCTTGACAAATACGTAAACCATCTAAAATAGCCTGAGCTTCTACAAAAAGGTGAGTGCCTTGTCCGTAAAAAATTGTGAAACCTCGAACAACTGAACCATAATGAATCCGCAAAGTTCCCACACCCGAGCAGAAAGGCCCTTGCCCCGAACCATCCACGTTGACCTTAACTTGACAAGAGGTTGGAGGGTTCCACTTGATCCAACAACCTTGAGGAGAATAATGAGTCTACCCGATGGTGTGAGCGGTTGTGTAGAGACAAAATTGTCATTCAAAGCTTGAAGTAAAGGAAATATATTTCAAGTAATGGTAACCGTGACCATCTGAATATCTTCGAAGAATGCCCTACGCCGACTTTTCCAAATCTCCGAACAACTGAACATGAGAATTCCATAGGCCATATACCATCCTGAGTGTGAAGCTTTTTCGGGTCCAACCAAGTTTTAATGAGGTGTTGCATGGTGTATAGGGTTTTAGCCAAATCTTAGAGTAGAAGCTCCAAACTCCTTGGGCGAACAAATGTGTAATGCTTTCTTGCTTGGGAGCAGGACAACAACGACATTTAGAGGGAGCCATGCAGTCACACAGTCGAAGAACCATATCAACCGATATTGCCCCGTAAGCAAGTTTCCAGAAAAAAACACAAATATTGTGAGGAATTTGGATTGCCAATTTTTTTTCGTCAGTGGGTGTGTAGATGCAGTGGGACGAATTAACTCCCAATATGCTGCCACTTTAAAGTTTCCGTACATTGATTTTGTGAAAATTAATTGATCTTCAACTTGCTCCTCAAGCTCAATGAGATCAAAAGCAAATTTGTTGCTCATGAGACTGCAATTTCGCCTCCTTGAAGAAAGATGAACGAGATGCGTCTAAACAATAAAATTAAATTTTCCGTATTTAATCTAGTAAAAAATGATTTATATTAACGAGTAGAAGGTAACAAAGAAATGAGAAATTAAAAATGATGATATTTACCTAAAAATAATATTATATACATGATTTATTTGCAATTGATTTTAATATATCAAATAAAACATTCTGAAATGACTATTTATTTCAATGAAAGGTTCACGTTTGATTTTTATCTTTCAAAATATGCTATGGAATGACAAACTTGTTCAATTGAATTACACGGATCATGAATTTTCTTAATATGATGTCAAAAATTATTAAAGTATGTACATAAAGGCTTTTGATAGAACAATTCAATAAAAATTTAATGCATTAATATATATACGTTATATAATAATTTATTATCATGGATGGCATAATAGGAACTACAAAAAAATTAAGAAGCAAAAAACATTCATTTGAATTACACGGTTCATGAATTTTATTAATATGATGTCAAAAGTTATTAGAGTATGTACGTAACCGCTTTTGATATAACAATTCAATAACGATTTAATGCATTAATATGTATACATTATATAAATAAATTATTATCATAGAGGGCATAATAGGAACTACAAAAATGAAGAAACAAAAAACATTCATTTAAATTACACGGTTCATGAATTTTATTAATATGATGTCAAAAATTATTAGAGTATGTATTAATATGTATACATTATATCATAGCTAACTCACACCCTCCCCATGATGAGAGTAAGGTACATACACCCCCTACCCAACACCCAACCCATAATGATAGTGAATACTCTTAATTAATACAGATTTACTACATTACGTGATCTGGCAAGAGAGAATGTAAACTGAAAAAGTATTTGGAAATTAGTTTGACCTAAGGAATCCTCTAACATTGGGTCATGGACCGATATGTTTTTTTATTTCATATGAAACCAACAAAGTAGGCTTGAGACAGAAACCCTACAACATAGTCGCTATTTATAGGAAAGACAACCATTAGTACATACATTTCCATCATTGTCAATGAAGTAGGGCAAAATTATATTGCGACAGCAGGGCGTATATTTCTTTAAGATATTCTCCGGTTCATAGTTGTTATTATTTCAACCAACATGGTCGGCCGGCATTTGTTTGTTTTTTTGGAGAAACAGGCGTCGGCAAGGAAATCGGCAGTAGAGTTGCACAAATTGGATTATTACAATCCGGAGAAGTTAAGATTGTTGAGGTAAATATGCTTCAGTTGTTCTATATTGCGATAATCTTCTATTTGACCTTCTTTAGCAACCTATGGCCTATAAAAATATCTGAATTGGGTAAATAGGCATGTGACACGGTAATTGTATTTGCGTGTCTATATGTGGGGAACTGGCTTGAGAGTGCGTGGCTGTAGGAATCCTGTTGTGCCTTCATTTTATTTTAGTTTCCAACATTGTTGTGGGATTAGATCACCTTGGAGTGAGTGGTTTTTTACCCACCATATTAGAAGTTTGTTGCACGTAGATGCACAATATCCAAATCTCATTCCTTATATTTTCATTGCGGTATCTGGTATCTGGTTGTTTCCAAGCTGTTAAATATTTTGGTCAGACAAAGAAGTAGGGACAGAGCATGGACAACAACCCCCAGCTAGCTAGATAGCTAGATGCTGGAGTACTAGCGAGGGTAGGAGTGCTTCTTTATTATCTTTGATCTAGGTTGATTTTCCTCTAACTAAACAAATGCATGGCCCAAGTGATTTGGACCGGTTTGCTTTTAACAAATACAAGGCCCAACTAAGATAGAAGCAACAACAAAGAGTCCACTTGCAATTGCCCACATAGGGAACAGACAGGACAACATGAGAAAGGTGTCAAGAATAACGCGGAAAGTCTGCAGACTACGACGTATGAAAAATATGTGTTGTTTAACCTCACTAAATGCCATTAATCTCGCCTAAAGGTAGCGAATGGACGAAAGACTGATGGGGACATCTGGCAAGACATGATAGGTGGGCGGCAACAACTTGAGCCACTACGAGCCTCTCACGTGGCAATATAGGATAGGTGGCCGGCAATAACTCAGACCACTACGAAGGATAGGTGGGCGACAATAACTCAGACGACTACGAGCCTTCCACATGGCCAGATGAGACTCGTGGAGCTCATAATGTACAACTATAAATAAAACCTCTCATAACAACAGTCTCAAGGTTGCCATTTTTGGATTAATACATATATATTTTCATACAACTACTTATTCTTTTCCTGTAATTATTACATTCCAACTAACTTAACCATCAGAGTGCTAACGTAGGGAAAATACTTTTCGGCACTCTTTTTTACAATTGAGCATGTCTCGAGAGCTAAGCCCACCGATCGGAGAAGGTATTGTTTTTGCCCATTAAACCCCAAAGCCTATCTAGTTTTATTTTAATTATGTTTTATTTTATAATGTGTTGTCATCCATAATCTAGAAACACATTTGAATTTAATTTATCACGATGGATTGGATTAATATTTCGAATCGATAAAATCCAACGCAACTGATGATAGGATCAAGTCCAAGAATTATTAGATACAAACGAATACTGATACAGAGTAAATGTAGTCATGTACATACAAAACAAGCACTTCAAATCCTGAAATGAGATATTTGAATGTTTTCGACATCAAGTTTGTCGAAATTACCCCTATTTCGTGTAGCACGAAACTTGCCCCAGTTATAGGCCTTGAATTTGGCAGTATTCTCCACATTTATTAGCTCCTCCAATGGCTCAATCCATGTATAATGTGACGGATACAAGAAATAAGGAATCGAAAGCCTTTCCTTCTCAGAGTTCACAACTGCTCTGTGTTCTACGCTCTCGTACTTATCGTTGCTCCAAACCTATACATAAACGTAAACATCAATATATAAATGAAGTTTAGAACTATAATCCCGAAAATATTGACAAAATTTGTCCTAGGAATCTCGGTTTATGTTTAGTGAAGTTTATCTCAATAAACTTTATTTTCTGAAACTTGTAAGATGTTATATCCTTGTGTGTTTTTAAAACAGCTTATAAACTCCCGAACAACTTATTTTTTTTAATTCTATAAACTATTCTCCACAAGGAAAAAAAAAGTTAACACCTATTCAGAGAGCTTATATGATATTTTAAAAAGGCAATAATTACTCAAAACGCCCTATCTTCAAACTTCAAAATCATTGATGTTAATTACCTGGATTATATCGCCTACGTTGACAATATACGCATCGGGATTAGGTTTGACAAGAATCCATTCTCCATCGGTTTTTCTCTTGACTTCAAGTCCAGCAACATCGTCTTGAGCGAGAATAGTTAATACACCGGTATCTTTGTGCCTACCGACACCAAGAGCTAGATGAGGAGCGGGACACGGTGGATAGTAGTTGAGCCTCACTCTACTTGTTTGATTCTCGAAGAATCCATTTATAAGCCTATCTTTCGGTAAGCCCAAACTCAAGGCTATAAGCTCGAGTAACTTGAAAGCTAGTTTCTCCATTTCTCCAGTGTGCTCTTCACATGCCTCCCTTTTAACACATGAAAAAATCTTTTCAATAATCAGTGTGAGTATATATATACATGCACCATATAGTGCAAAATATCAAAGCTTTATTTCATCTGGTTTTGAAATTCGTTTCACTCAAATAATACCGTGTTTGCTAAACTTTTCAAATTTGCCTCCAAATTGTTTTGGGAAACAAAAAAATTCCAAATGTTTATCTCGTCTTTTGACATGATTTCACTGTTATAGTAACACATGTAATCCCTAAAATGCAACGTTACATTATCTTTTGAAAGTGAAACGAGGCTCATAATTCGGTTCAATAAAAGCTCGAGACTTTTAATTGTTATAGAACTAAATAACTTTTAATTCGGTTCAATAAAAGCTTATGCATTGTCCATATAGACATGAAAAAATCGACAAGAATGAATCCAGTGTAGGGTCAGAGGGGGTCATGACCCCCATCAAACTTGATTTTTTTTATTACTATATGTATATATAATTTATTGCATTCATATTGTGCTCCTATAATTAATTTTTAACAATTTAATTTTATATAAAAAGTAAAATTAAGTATTTGTAATCAATGTAAACATAGAAAATAGTAAATAAGTCTACTCAAGCCCACCCTCAATTGAAAAAGGAATCCACTAGATTATATCAGTATATTTATTTAGTCCACCCAATTTTTATTATTTAGTTTACCCAAATTCCGAATTAATGCAAAAACTGTCATCAAATATCTTATTTTCCTATCTTTTGGTTTAAATGTACCCTCTAGTAATAAAATCCTGTTTTCGACACAGCAAGAAACTCATAAATTTTGAAATGATGGCTACCAACATCTATTATAACATATCAATAGTTGAATTTTACTATTAACATGTAGAGAAAAAAAAGAAAAAAAATAATGTTATCCGACTCATTATATTCATAATCAATATGCATAAAAGTGGTTGCAAAAAATCACATAAATTACATAAATACCTGAATTGAGGACGATTAGGAGGCCACTTATTGCACAATTCAATCAGGTGAACATCATCAGGTTCGTGCGAAGACGGAAAAACGATCGGATCAACAACCGCAAAATCGAAAACTTGTTTCCAATCCCTTACGTTCTTCGTGTGCTCGCTGTCATAATACCCGAAAGGGTTGCCCTTATCCCTCCCCACCTTCAACTTCTCCTCTTGAGGCAATGCAAAGAATTCCCTGGAAGCTGATTCGATACTTTCCCGGAGTTTTGACGGAACACCGTGATTGATCACTTGAAAAAATCCCCACTTCCGGCACGCGCCGCCTATCTCCGCCACTAAATCGGGCGGCGGCGGCAGTGGAGCTTTCAGCGGAGAGAGGTCGATTACCGGGATGTTATCGGCTTCGATGGGGTAGGGTTTAGGCCTGTGCTCCAGGGGTTGAATGAAGGAAGGATCCACTTCTCCCATGGCTGAAAAGAGTAGAGTTCGGAGAAAAAAACAGCAGCTGGCCTTTTAATTTGTTTGTACGATGATGTTGTCGTGTATTGGCTGTTTGTGAAAATGCATTGCATCTGGACACTTTTTCATACATAGTGAAACATGCATGTCTTTATATGTATATGTATGTCAGTATGTGTATATATCTGATCATAAATAATTGGGATTGTGATGAGGATCTTCAGTTGCATGTATTTCTGATCATAAATAATTTGGTCTTACGTTCATAAAACATACATTTATAAGTCCATCATGTTTCATATATTAAACGTTTTTCAATCTATTCCGTCAATTTTCTATTAAAATTTAAAACTAATGGAATTAAGTATGTGTCTATCACTGTCTTAACTGTCTTAACTGACGGGACTAACTGCAAATTGACGGAAATGACCAAAAATATTCAATGTATGACACATGAGGGACCAAATGTGGTTTTTTGTAAAAATGAGAGACCAAATGTGAAATTGAAACAAACTTGAGGGATGCAAACTGTAATTTTTCCAAAAGATATCCTTGCACTGTTCAAATTTTAAGCATTAAAAACAGATTCTTGGGGGTTTCTAGCTAGGGTGTAAACAAATCGAATCAAGCCAATTTTTTCGAGCATGATTCGGTTTTATCGAGCTTTTAAAGTTGTAACTGAACTTGATTTGATAAGCAATCGAGTCAAGTTCCAAGCTTTAGTCGAGCCAAACAAGAATCGAGCTCGATTAGCTTCATTTTTTATCCATATTTTTTTTAATCAAGCTCAATGGTTTGTTACGTTAACAAATCGAGCACAAACAAAGTTTTAACGAATGATCTCAAATCGAATAAAATATACATTCAAGTTAAATAGGGTGAATCTTTCACATGCAATTTGCCATTACGTCGACTTAATCAACTCATATCCAAAACCTTCTTCCATCGAAATAAATAACAACGAGAGAAGCCACTAAACTGTGATCGGCGAATCCAGGAAAAATAGTTACACGAAAACGGTTCCTAGTAACAAAAAGTTTCTCAAACCCAAGCTTGTGCATAAGGCTAGACTGCATAAACATGAAAGTAAACAAGTTACTGTCAAATCAAAACGAAATATCGATTACATGTACAGAACAAGACCTATAAAACGAGACGATTCTGAAATATAATTTTGAAGGACAGGAAAAAAAAAAAAAAAACCATATGCCCATCGTGTAATTTAAGTTTTACCTCGGCTACAATGGAATTGCCTTTATAAATGGTGCAGGATCTATTGAAAGGGCAGCCTTTCATACGCAACTCGGTTTTCGAATCGTCGTTCTTTTCACAAAATAATATTTTAAATTCAGTTCTACTGGACTCATCTAGCGTCTTGTCTACTGTGAATATCAAGTCCTTCTCTTCATCTTTTCCCCTAAAGCCTTGCCATGAACCTTTCTGCACGACGAAGAACGTCATGTCAGGTAGAAACACACAGTAGAAAAGTATGTCGAAAAAACACTTCGAGTAAAACATATAATAAAATAAACCCTTGTAAGCACAGTGGAAATTACCAACAGATACACGAGAGATTTGTGGAGGAAGTTTGCATTTAAACAGTTTGTGATCGACTTAGTACGACTTGTAACGATGACTGTATTGAATTTGAATTATGTGAGAATTTATACATACTTAGGCGGCAAACAATGTACATAGTCGCAAAACCATAAATTATGCATGACAAATGCCGCAGATACTATACCCTACATCATACATATTGATTCCTTCAACTATAATAATCCCGATTAAAATAATCACACAGCGAAAAAGTGTTATAAAACGAGAATCCAACATAGTAAAAGCAACCACAAGGCAAAGTCGGATCTCGATCATAATGCAACGTGATTTTTGGGAAAAGTGCATTCGTGCTTATAAGTTTAAAATTTCGGCATCCACAAGTAGCAAATACTCCGATTTTTTCGCATCGCGTTTTTTTTTTTTTTTTTTTTTTTTTGCATTCGTTATAATGCAGCACATGTAAAATTGCAGTTCAATATGATGCCGAATTATTCCGAGCACTAAAAATGCTACGAAGATCAAAACATTTCGTCACAAAGATATTAATTTTGGTTTCTTTTCATTAAAAACCTCCAGTAACTCATTGCACACCAAATCTAACAACAAAAACAAAAACCCTAGAAGAGAAACAAAAAATCCAACAATTCACTTCCGAATTCACCAAACATCTGAACAGGCAAAAAGCAGTTGAATAAAAATACGACGAGAGTAAAAAAGCGCACTCACGCTTATTCGGTGTATGGAGAAGAGAGTATCGCCGGATGAATCCACTACTAGTTTTACAGAGTGGGCCGATTTCTTCACTGTGTACACCAAATTATCCGCTGAATCGGTAAATCTGAGAAACCCTCGGCTGCCGATCCCTTCGTATTTCTTCGACACAAAAAGATCAATTGGGATTTGGGAATTGGGCGGGTTTTGGGATTCGTACGGTTGCGCTGTGGAATTCTCGTCCGCCATTAAATCATCGATGTGATTGAGAAAGGGGTTTTTCTTTTTCTTCTTATACGTCGTCGTTTTCGTTTGTTCGTTTGCTGACAGAAGAGTAAAACAGTGTGGAAGGATTTGATTGGAATAAATAACGCTGTCAACGAATTTGTTCTTCTGTCACTCAAAAGTATTTACCACTTGGAATATTTTATTTTTTTTAGTAGGAAATTATTAATTTATTATTATTTAATTAGTTTGGTTGGCTTCAAGTTTGAACCAACATAACGTTGAATTCAATGAAAATAACAAAATTAAAAATTAAAAACTAGTCAACTTTGCCTCCTATATATTTATATTAAGGACTCTATTTCGTTGGGAAAATTATGCATTATTAACTAAACAATTAGAATTTATTTGATGTCCCATATTATTAGTTCGATCCATATATATTATGTTACTATTATTTATTTGCCTTTTAAGGAACTTTCTTGTTAGATGTTCTTAGATTTGATAAAACAATTGAGTTTTAATTAGATTATTTAATTTTATTTTGCCTAATCTTATCTTGACAATCGTGAATTTGATGATAAATTATTCTTTCTAGATAGGGTCTAATTACAAAGTAAATGAATCTCGTCTATAAAAATATAATTATACCCATAAGGTTGTCGCCATCTAACTAGGGGCGGATGGTCTATAGTGTGCATATGTTTGTTTATATTTATTGTGTTTTATGATACTGTTCATTTATCAATGAATAACTCTCGCACACGACATTCAATCAAGTAGATTCGGTTTGGATTAAAATTCAATTCGAAAGACAACAAATTTGATGCTTTAAGTTTTGCTAAATTCGTACCGAGAAATGTTAGAAACCACATTAGAGTCGGAAGGATATTTGCAAAATTGAAACGATATTTAACAACTCCGTCTTTCAATTTATACCAATTAGGCCACCTAACCACATTGAATTCCACGAAATAAAAATTGAAAAGTGATGATTGTAGTTTATAAATATTTACATGGTCAATTATTTATAAGTAATTTGTCAGCAATTCATATGACCATACGTTAGGATATACAGTAGAACCTCGATAAATTAACAATCTCGTTTAAATAATATATTTTCTCGGTACCACCTTGAAGACAACATGTTAAAAATATATATCATTAAAATATTTCGCTAAATTAATAAAATTTAGTTGATCCCAACTGAATTAATTTATATATGCTTATAGTGATCTGACCGGTACAATAATTCGAATTTTCTTAGGAATACTTAAAGAGAAAATGCAGTATATCACTCAATAATTTGAGTCTCGAATTTACACCAATTTATGCAAATTGTAAGAACCTAGTTAGTTTTATATTTGTTGTATTTTCTCTTTATTGCCATAATTATTATTGTAGTATCTTTATTTAAAAAAAAAAAAATCACTAACTTTTGTCAATCCAGAACGGAGCGACGCATTATACGAACCGAGAATGTTTTGCTGGGCTTCCCCGCATCAAGACAAGAATTCGAAAATATTTTCTCAACTGTTCCGAAATTGTGCATGGCTAAAACAGTTCCAGCATATAAAAACCAAATATTAACACACGTGAATCCAAAACAAAATCACCTCAATCCATTCTTATTCACCAAACGAGTCATCATCTCAGTCACGACACAAGTCATCTTAACGGTACACATATTCATTGTCCGACCAGTCACCAAGTTCCTCTTCGTACTCTTTGTGTAGTTTACTTCGACTTTTGTCCTCTTCTTCTGATTGGCTACCAGACGTTTTACTCTCACGCTCCGATTCCTCATCAGATGATCTGCTGCTCATCACTTCATCCTCATCATCCTCAGTTGTCTCCTCTTCTTCGGGATAGTCATTTCGGATATTATTTTCCGCTGAGATTCCAAGTTATATTATAATTATTATTATTCATGTAAGAATATGTCTTTTAGTGCCATGTGTGTGTATAATATAATATATTATGTCTCAGACGAAAAGATAATATACCGTTAGAATCGTCAGTTTCATATTCTGAATCGTCTCGCCCATCATAGAAATCATCTTCAACATGAATCCTGATCCAACATATTATTTTCTCAAGTTAGTAAAACATATTAAAATATGCATTAGCAGAAGTCAAGAATAAAAACGAAGCCTCACAAAGGGAATGGCACTTCAGAATCAGACACAGTCACATTAGCATCCTCCTTAACGACATAGAAGTCATAAACATAGAAGTCGTCTTCATCTGAAGAGTCTGCAAAACAAGCCAAGATTGTAATAAACCGTCAGAAAATCTCATAATTGATGAACAAACCAATAGCAAGTGTTCTATATTATTAAGCTGCATAGGACAGTTATGAAAGAGACAGGTAAAATTAGTGGTCCAGCGTAAAAATTAGCCAGACCTTCTTTGAACATACGATTTTGAATATCAGACTCGATCTCCGAAGCAGCAGATGGCAGAATCTCCCTCATCAGAGGCAAATATTCAGCCACCATTTTGCAGTCACCATCCAAATCCATCCTGCTGGATTGAAAAATTATGGATTTTTAATATCATTAAATCTAATACCATCAGTAAAAATGATGGAGCATCGATATATGTGAGAGAGCAATACCTCTCTTGCTGCTCCTCAATTTCAGGCTCCTTATCAACCCGAATAACTTCATAAAGTCGGCACATGTCATGTATAGCTTTGTCTTCTGTATCAATTGTACCCGGCTTTCTGCTTCTCCATATTTGCTCAAAACGAGAGTTTCTTGCCACACCCTTGAGGAAATAAATAAATTGCAGATTGAAATACAGTAAATAAGATTAATTCGCAAGATGAAAATAGCCACATGGGGTCATGGTTGTATCCCAGCTAGAGGGAAGGGAAAAATGCAATTGCAAGAAGTTACAAAGTTGAGGCCCCGTAAAAGTAAATTATAGCAGATATGCAGCATAACAAAATTATAGAAAATGTACTTCCTAATTACAAATATAACCAACTTTTAAGAGGGCCAACATGCAACGATGAGAGATTTATCGTGAGAGGCTAAACATCTAAACATGATCGCAGCCAATCCCAAGTGCACTTTACCTCTTTGCGTTCTTTTGCTTTGATCATTAACTGATCTAGTTTCTGCAAACATGACATCAAATCAAAGGTTAGTAACTTGTTATATCGTTCTCTTATACACATTGAAAAGCACGGCCGTGCAATTTATAACAATTTGCCATGTACTTTACGATTCACAAGAAGATACGATTCATGAGGAAAATGATATGTGATACACTATGAGATTTGATAACATTGATGCTAAGAGCATTATGCGTGCATTGCCATCATCAAGGACCTCAAAAGGTCAGGAAGAGAATGCTTGGTTGTGAGCAGATATTAAGAAACTATGCAGATTACACATGACCTCGAGTTCTCTTAACTATTTGAAGTAAGGGTTTTAAATCATACAACTTACAACTTCCTTTGTCCGTTCAACTATTCAACTTTTGCGGTTAAGTATGTGATACACTCACTTGTCCGGTTAGAGAAGATTTATGTAATTCAGAAACAGGTACTCCTCAACTTACTTTCGTGAATCTATAAACGTGAAACATAAGTCTTCCCTCCCTGCCTTATTCGAATAGTACTAAGTGCTAACCAATAAAAGTTTAAGAGATATACTTCCTTTAAGTCATAATAAACAATTCAAAAGGGATGGTTTGAGTTATCTCCCCTTCATTCTCACTGAAACTGAAGCCTGATCTAAGAATAGGTAGAAGGGTAGGGATATATTCTAAACTTCTGATGATTATATTCATTACAACTTTAGAAGATTATATTATTTGCAATTGCAATGATTAGCGTGTTGGAATAGTATCGAAGAAATTAACCCGTGTGTGTGGATAGACATGGGTCAGGGAGGACTTACATTCAAAATCGGAAAACGACGCCTTCTTTCTAAACTGCGCCTTCTTTTTTCGTCGATGTCTTTAGATTTCAACTCGCCAGATGAATTAGGCTGTTCAACAAGTAAAAAGAATTAAGTCCATATGCAGTATTTTTTATTCAAAGCCTGACAACCACCACACTATGATAATGTATATACGGGACGGCAACAAAATAACTAACCATAAAAGATCGCAGAACGTCTAACGTATGCTCAGAGCTTTCAACTGTTTCCAGGTGTTGTACAAGAATCTTCTGGGGCCCCGGTTCCTCGACTAAAACATTTCAAACAGAGGCAAGACTAGTGATTAATGATACAGCTTAAATATTAAAGCTCTCAAAGATAATCCATGGAAAAAAAGTCGTAAACGAGGTTTTTATGAGTGTATTCAAACCACTGAAACCGACAATACAAATTACTTCAGGTTAAAAGACCATAAATAATTTCGAAGTGCGCAAACTTATAAGATATAATGGGTTTCAGTTCCTACGATTTTACTTTCCGAAACTTAAGACATAAAGCACTAGAAACAGGACTAAAATAGCATCTTTGCCATCCAAATTTGGACTTATATAGAGAAATTCTTGTTGAGAATTCAAGATCCCACATAATTTTTTTTCTCAATTTTCGGACGTTAGGTTGTCTTCTTTTGAAAATATAATTTATAAATACTTCCGTTTATTTCTTTACCAGTTAAAATTCTGGACTATGCTAAGGCTAGTCCATAAGAAAGAAATATCATCCTTTCCAAGGAATTTCTCATGAGTGATTCAACGCATGAAATAAACCAATTACTGTCTGAAATTTTTATCAGTAGAAGACATGACAATGTTGCCATAATATTAGTCAGATATATTTGCCTAATAAATATCATTATAAAAAAAAGCGATCAGCTATATAGTGTGCTTCATCCCTATTTAATCCTGTCACCTGCTAACTTATCTTTTCCTTGTTTCGATTGGGGCAGAGAATTTCCGGTCGAAAAAGAAAATTAAAAAAACTTAAAAACAAATTGATACACTCCCAAATTCCTCGACAGTTGATCATTGAGAAATGCGAATGGTGACATAAACATTCGACAATTTACACTATTTGCAAAATTAGAATACATTTTATACTGATTCCGTAAACCCAGGAGAGCAACAGTTATCTATGAGATAATCAAAGCAAACCAGCATGCATTCAAACATAAATTAAAGAAATTAAAATGCACGTACAAATCAGAGATTCATTTTGAAATACCTCTACTTGAAGAAGCGCCAGATATTGATAACTTTGCAATGTCGATCGTCGGCTTCTTCAGCGGCCTCTCTTGAATTTCCAGCCCTGATCAGACCGAAAAGATGAAATTGCAATCACCGCTCAGAAATCCAGAGAGAGAAGCGAGAATTAGAAAGGGGGAAAAAACGAAAAAAAAATTAGGAAAGCAAAGATCGGTACTTACAAAACGCATCGAGGGGAGAATGAAAAGCTTTGCGTTTAACACTGACGACGATTGGCTTGACGGCGTTCGCCGCCGGAGCTAAAGTAACAACATCGTCCATTGGCGGTAGACTGAATCGAATCGGCGGGGTTAGGTTTTAGGGTTTCGTTTCTTCCCGAACTTGATCTGCAACGATTCTGTTTAGCCGGAGAAGTATTAGATTGAAATGAAATGAAGTGGTTTAGGTTTTGGTTCATTATAAATAGGGTAAAATTCATTTTGCACCCCTGTACTATGAGAAAGGTATCGTTTACCCCCCTGATGTATGAAAAACATCAAATACCCCCCTGCCGTTAACTTTTTTCTTGAATTCGTTAGTCAAACCCTTTGACTGGCCGTTATAATGACCCGTTGGCTTTTTTTTTTTGACGAAATTACCACCAATAATCTCTATATAGGTTTTGTTTGATTGGCCAAACAATAAGAAACATGTTGAGTTATTTTTGAAGAATTTAAAATTAAGCAAATTGTTTTTTGATTGAACAACGAAATCCCTAACATAAAGGCGGTTAAGTGCTCAAAAATGGATTCTATCATATTTTTTTGTCTTTATCTACCAAATACCGAATCTTTTTATTTTTCTCAAATTCTAATATGTAATATCATAATAATGGTATAATTTTAATAATTTTATTTTTGTTTTGCTATTCTATACAAAAACCTATGACCTTAATAAGTCTAAGAGAATTCTGTTTCTAGGATTGTTTTAGAATTCCTTTCTATTTTGATCTGTTGCAACTTCCAATTTAAGTAGAAAATTTTCTTATTCCTCCGTTTGGCGTAAGGTATG